CACCACCCTCCCTTTTCCTGAGCCTGCGTTTGCCCCGTGGTCTCAGGGCCTGGCTCCTGCGCTGAGCGCATCTCGGGGGCTCCCCGGCTGCCTCCCCTTCCCTCCCTGGGTCCCCTCCCCGTTTTCACTGTTATTGTCATTACTTTTTTAGTTCGTGTTTGCGACACATAATGGTTACTTTCACTGTGGGTGGCTGGCGATGAACACAAGGCAGCTCCTCTCCCTCGGTGTCCGCTCCTCCCCTTCCCCTCACCCTTTGTCCCTTGGGCCCCTTCCCCTTTGCAGATCTGTTGCCTCGATTCCTCTATTGTGCGTCGCTTTACTTAAAATGAGAGCAACCATATGGTACCTAAACTCTCGGGTCTGATTTAGTTCACTTAACATTGTTTTCAGGTGCGTTCCTTGTAAGTGTGTTAAATGGAGCCCTCTTTGTTGCAGGGTAGTTTGTAAGACCCCGCACGGCCTTTCCCCAGTGCCTGTTGGTGGACAGAGCTGCTTCCGGGATTTAGCCCTTATGAATAATAGTTATTGTGCTGCTACAAACACCTCTGCACCATCGTGTCTTCCGCTGTTTGGGGAAGATACCTCGCTGAGGAATAGCTGAGGCCAATAGAATTTCTGTTTTCGGTTTTTTGAGGCTTCCACAGTGGTTACTCTCGTTTACACCCCCACCAACAGTGTAGGAGCGTTTGCTTTTCACTGCAGCCCCACCAGCATTGGTCATCGTTTGAGCTTTTGGTGACTGACATTCCTAAGGGACAAACTGCAGGTGACATGACCCTCTGCGTAGAAGACCCGAAGAGTTCCACCAAAAGCCTCGTAGAATGAAAAACCAATGTCGGCAATACAGCGGGCAACAAAATCAACGCACAAAAATCAGTAGTGTTCTACACCAATAGTAAACTCACTGAGAAATCAGGACAACGATGCCGTCTCAATAGTATCAGGAATAATAATTAACCTAAACAATGACATGCACCAAAAACTCTAGCACTCTGAAAAGGGGGATTAAGAAGAAATCAGAAATGAAACACTGTCCTGTTTCAGGATAAGTAGAACCAATATTGTCAAAACGGTCATACTTCCAAATCTCATGGGTAGATTTCATGCAATCCCAATCAAAATACCTACAGCATTCCCCACATAACAACAGAAAAAAAATCCTAAAATTCACAAAGAACCAGAAGAGATCCAGAATAGCAAAAGCAATCCTGGGTAACAGAGGAAAGCAGGGGGCATCGCAGTCCTGGACTTTAATACTTCCAGTCAACAGTGATAAAAATAGCACAGTGCTGGCATAAAAACAGAGACGAAGTCGGTGGGCCAGAACAGAGAATGCAGAAACAACCCCAGACACATTCAGCTGGGCAGCAAAGGGAAAAAAACAACCAAGAGACAACCTACAAGATGGGGAAATAGTTTTGGCAGCTGTTCCTCAGACAGAGGACAAACATCTAGAACATATCAAACAACTCCAAAAATTAGACCCTCCAAAAAAAATAAAAGATTCCATCAAAAATGGGCTAGTGAAACGAAGAGGCACCCCTCAGAAGCACAAATGGTCAGTAAGTAGGTGAAGAAACGTCCGGCATCGCTGGTCACTAGGGAAATGTAAATTAAAACAATACTGAGATTCCACTCACCCCGAAAGAATGGCTCTGCCCTTGTTCTTTGACCCCTCATTCTCGGTCATCTTTTAGGGCTCTCCTTGCCCCCCGAGACTCTGCAGGCCTCACAGGCCGGCCCCTGCTTCTCTCTTGGCCTCTACCCACCATGTGGTTTCGACACTATCCCCATGCTAGAGGGGTGGGCTGCCCCAGCCTTGAACCCTCGACTGCCCTCTGGATGTCTCATTTGTACCTCGTGGAGGTGGAAGACCCATCTCTCCTCACGATGTAACTGTAGGGGAGAAAGAACTGGCTCAGTGGAAACCCAGTTTCAAGACCCTCCTTCCTCTCAGAAAAGCTCTCTCTCAATAAAAACTTTCCTACTCTTCTCTCCTGTCCTTCAATCCTTTCTTCCATGTATGAGACAGGAACTCAGGCCGTCTAACACGCTGGACATCACTTCCCCGTAACACATAACCCCTGAGGCCTCCCCACTCCAGCATCATCTACTCCAGGGCCGCAGAGCCAGCTCCTCATCCAGACCTCAGGGCCTTTGCTTGTGCTCTTCCCTCCTGAAACGCACTTCCCCCCATGTCTGCACGGCCCACACCACAGTCTCCAGGAATCACTGGCCCTCCCCGCTGCTCTGTCCAACCCTACAGACTTCCTCTACCTCAGTCCTCCCCTTCCCCTCAGCATCTGTCATCCTCACAGAACTCAATGCCACCTAAACTGAACACACTGGCTCTCCGCTCATGAATCCTGTTCATTGTCACCCATGACCCTGGAAGGCCCAGGGGGAGCAGGGATTTTGTCTGCTTTGTTCTATTCAAAACAAAATGACATCAAATTTAAATGCCCATCTAAGTGGCCTTTTGGGGGGATTGTGAACTGGGGCACACACCATCCTGCAAAACAGAATGGATGCTTGTGTGGGCCAGGCCTGAGCAGTGGGGTTTGTAAACAGCAAGGAGACAGAGCAGTAGGGGAAAACCAACTGGTCTGTATCAAGTTACTTCAGAGTACTTTTTCGCATGGGTTAAAGTGGACTCAGAGCAAACACGAAGACTCCTGTGAAATTCCAGTTTCAATTTAACACGACTGACTCCATTTTCTTTTGGTCCAGCTGGCTGGGGTCAAGTGCAACATCTTAGCCCATAAGGTGTGTCTAACACTTCCCTGAAAATCTTTAATGCCTAGAAGAGTGTGGGGCACATAAGTAGATACTCAATAAATACTCACAGGAGGGATGAAGGCATAAGAGACAAGAGCCCAACCTACCAACTCCATCTGCTGCCCCAAGAGGGGAACGTGATTGCAGGAAAGCAGGGAAGTGCTGCTGGACACCATGTGTTTGCTGAAGGTCTTCAAGTGCTCCCCATTTTATCATCACCGTTGTTGTTGTTGTCCTAGATTTCCACTATAGAACCAAAAGGCAATGATACAGCGTATAATTATTCATTTTTCTCATCTGTGCAATTTCTCTTTTCATTTTCATGGATCACGACAGTCATTTTCAACCATCTTTTTGCTTCTGACTGAAATCTTTTCTTCAAATAGATTCATCTGACAGATTTAATAACACCTCAGCAAGCAAAATGTCCCTCGTGTCTTGGGGGGAAAAAAATCTTTCCAGCTGCCGCGCTAATTAGACAGCTCTCTGATAATTAGGGGCAGACAAATTGTGCCGAATGTCAGAGAGGATAAGCAAGCAAACCAGTGTAATTACCTGCCAGAACATTAATTAAATATCTTACTAATAAAACAACAACAGCAGAATTCTCAAAGGCCAGGCATTCCTGTGCTGGTAGAAATTTAGTATAAAGAAATGTATTGCTTCGGCTAAACATACAGACTTGGAGGGGATACGGGGGTTGGATTCATGCCTGTGCATGCAAAAAATGTGTTTGCCACTGAGCTACAACCCACACCCCTTAATCACAAGCGATTTTACAAGAAGACAAATTCCCTAGAAGTGGTTTTGTGTATTATGTATGAAGTGTGATGGAAAGAAATGGTGAATGTTAAAATTTTTAAAATTATTACAGTAAAAGAACCATTACCCTTACCCTCCCCCTAATGCTCCGCTCTCTTCGATCACACTCATCCCATCTTCCTGGCCACTTCCTGCAGCAGCTCTGGAGTCCTCTCTCCTGAGGGTCTTTAGTTCTGCTGTCCTGGCTGCCTCGATGTCCTGAACTGATTCAAAGTGTTTAGCTCTCCCAGTCATTTTGACTTTGGGGTAGAGCAGGAGTCACACAGTGCCAGATCCGGTGAGAAAGGTGGTGAGGACACAGTGTCATGTTTTCATGAGCCTGAGTTGCCATGAGATGATGTTCAGCAGCAGCAGTCACCAGATTTTTGATCACACCTGGTAAAGACCCTCAGGAAAGAGGACTCCAGAGCTGCTGCAGGACCTGGCAAAGATGAAGGGATGAGTGTGTTTGATGTGAGGAGAAGTATGTGAAGGGGGATTCGTGGCAATGTGTCTTTGCCTGAATACATTTTTAAATGCAAACATTCACTGTAGATTTTGACCACTCCTAAGGCATTGCTTTAAATTCCATCTCATGTTTTCCTGACCTGGCTGCTCAACTCCTGGTTGGAGCTATGGCTGGTGTGGTGTTTGTGTGGGGTACATGGGGACAGATGACCTCCAGGGCTCCCTGGCCAGCCTCACAGCCCTCACCGAATGAACCCCTTAGGCATGGGCCAGCAGCTCTCCCTCTGCCTGGATGTCCAACTCACCCAGACACATTTAAAAAAAAAAACAATTTTAAAAAATGACCAAAACCAAGCTGCTCAACCTACATCCAGTGCAAGCCCTACCAATCCTTCTTCATAGCTCCTCAGACATTTCAGGTGTGGCACTGAGGCAGAGCAACCCAACTGCTCTCCACCTGGCCCCAACCTGCACCCTCCTCTGGTGCCTCTGAGGGACTGGCTGTGACTATCTGTTTGTACACCACACACAGCTTGTTCCCAGTCACACCAACTGTGACAGTGTCTGCTGTCTGTTCACTGTCCATTTGCACGTCCTCACTAAGAGAACTCCCATGTCTCTGTTGGTAGCAATATGCACAGCTAAGAAATACATTTCCCCACCTCCCTTGCAGCTAGGTCCAGCCATGGAACTGAGTTTTGTCTAATGAAATATGCACAAAAGCTGTTACAGAACCAGGCATAGTGGCACATGCCTGTAATTACAGCCTTCTGGGAAGCTAAAGCAGGAAGACTGCAAGTTTGAGCCCAGTCTGAGGAACTCAGAGATATTGCAAGATCCTTTGTCAAAATTTTTATAAGTTAGAAAAGGATAGAGATGTAGCTCAGTGCACAGGCCCTGGGTTCAACCCTCAGTATTGAAAAACAAACAATATCTGTGTCCACGAAGTCTTTTTGAGGAGGACAGAAAAAAAGGAGAAATCATTTCCTCTTCTTCTCTCTTCATCCTTCCTGCTGACTGGCAAGTGGATGTGGTGATCCTCCTGCCTCCACCTCCCAGGTAGCTAGAACTATAAGCATGTACCACGTGACAGAGACTAATTTTTTTTTTTTTTTTTTTTTTTTTGGTACAGGGATCAAACTTGTCCGGTCCTTGCACTTGCAAGGCAGGTGCCGGAACTACTGAGCTAAATCCCCAGCTAATTTTTTTTTTTCTTTTGAGTCAGTCTCACTATGTAGCAGAGGCTGGCCTGGAACTCACAGCAATCCTCCTGCCTCAGCCTCCTGAGTGCTGGGATTATAGCTGTGCCAGCAGGGTTGGTGGGCTTCTGTCTTCAGTAAACCCATTCAACCACACTCAGAACTATACTAACCCAATCAGGGGGTCGATTCAGTACTACACACCCTTAATCAGAGGATCACACAGCCTAGATCCAGCCAGCTCTGAAAAACTCCCTTCCTTGTGAGCATAGAAGGTTTGGGGGGACATCCAGACACAGCCATAAGATGCTGCAGCCTCCCCACAGGCTCCTCTCCAATTAGGCTGCGTTAAGAGTTGGAGCTTCAGCGTACGGATTCGGGGCACAGTTCTGTCCATGCAGTGGCCATCTGTGGTCAAGCTGCTCCCCCCTTTCCGGGACCTCTCTTTTCCTCCCATCCATGTGTGGGGTCACCGTCTCTAACCCGCCAGCCCCTTGACAGTCCACACTTGCTCGGCACACTGAAGGCTTCCCCGGGGCCGACTCCCTCCCACAGGTAACTGAGCTAAGGGTGGGCCTTGGCCCTCACTGGGCCCATCCGAGAGTGCCCTGGAAATCTGGGCTGAGACTCTCCGGCGAGAGCTCTGGATGACCCTGGTCCTAACACCACAAGCTGCCGTCCATCTTGTTCGGCTCCCCATGACAGAACAGAAGAAGGATGACCTGGCTCAGAGCATGGGAAATAGAGAGAGAAATGCAAAGGGCAGGGAGGGGAGATGGAATGAGAGCCCCTGGCCTTAACTGTGAATAAAGCTCAGCCACATTCCTGACTGGAGCTCCATGAGAAACATTTATCATGCCCTCAATTCTTCAGCTACTTTTAATAGAGAGTCTTCATGCCTCTCCCCAGAATTAAAAACAATAAAAACTTGGCATTTTGGGGCTCCCAGAGCTCACACAATTTTCTTTCAATAATGATTAGCAGTGACTTGCCATGTTTGGGTGTTCGTTTCATCCTACACATCCCTTTCTCTGCACAAAGGAATATTTCATGCTGTTCTCAGCAAACTTGTTGTGAGGTTTAAACCTCAAACCATCTGACAGCTCCTCCCTCCCACAGCCTCTGCCATCGCAGCTGAGAGAATCAGCGGTGGGTGCAGCTCAGCTCGAGGAGAAGACCACACACTTAGAAGGCTGCCGGGCCGGGAGGGCTCGGGGAACTCGGCCAGCACGCTGTGTGGACGCCTAGGAGAGAACTAACACCCGAGCCGGTGTTTCGACTGCCTGACGATGGTAGCTGCTTTCTTTTCATCTCAGCTCTTCTCCTGAAGAAAGCACCATCTTCTGTGTTTGCACAGAAACCAGATGAGCTTATTATAAACCAGGGGAGAGATGACGCGGGTGTCAGCTGCCCATCCCCGGTGGGGGGGCCTCGGGGACAGGCGGTGACATAGCCGTTCGCACCGGAGACGGATCTCAGGCACGTAAGACAGGGCAGCTGCTGCTGTACAGTGCGGCCTGCCAGCTCCCACCGGGCTCCCCCAGCCTCCCACCAGCCCGTGAGGAAGGAGTCCTCGCCCCGCTCTGCACGGAGGAAGTGGCGTCCAGAGGGGAGAGGCGCCATGTACCCGGCACCAGCGGGCAGGTGAGTGGCGCCGCTGGCCTTTGAGCAGGGTCCCTCGGGCCCCTCGCGTCCTCACCGCGACGTGCCACGCCGCACACTCCTCGGGAGTGGGGCAGCTGTTCAGTTCGCTCCGTTGAGTCGCAACTCGAGACCGCAGGCGTCCTGCCACCAGGGTGTGATGCCAGTGGCGACACCAAGAACGTAGCGCTTGCACCAGCGGTGTGAGAGCTGGCGGGTGTGTAACAGTCATCGGGACAGGAACGCCTGTGGTGCGCACTCGGGTTCGGCGGTCCTGGTCAGGGAAACAAACACACCAGTTCCGCCTGGGCGCAGCTCAGAGCCTGGACTGAAACTTCCGCCCAGAGCAAGGCAGACGGGGAATTTCCCCTCCAATCACTGTTGGGATAGGCAAAAAAAAATTTAAGTATTTTAGGTTATGGAAAGAAAGGTGGTGTCAGTGTTACATTTCCGGCAATGATGCCTGCACTATGCTTTTGTTTTGTTTTGTTTTTTGGTACTGGGGATCGAACACTCGAAAGGTAGGCGCAGCACCACTGAGCTAAACCCCCAGCCCTACACTACGCAGATATAAAAGCATGTCTTTGTTAATATGAAAACACAGGCCAGGAATTCAGCTCATTGGATCGCAGCCTGCCTCACAAGCAAAAGGACCGAGATCGACCGTCCGCACCAAAAAAAAAAAAAAAAAAAAAAAAAAAAAAAAAAAAAAAAAAAAAAAAAAAAAGAAAAGAAAAAAGAAAGAAAACACACTGATACACTGTAGCTAAAGGGCCATAACATATTCGAGACCCGGGCGGGAGGCTCGGATGGCTCATCTTACTTGTCAACCTGATCAGATTGAGAATCACACAGGCCATAGGAAAGCACCCTTCTGGGAGGGCCTGTAGGCGGGATCCAGAGATGATTGGCACAGCGGATAGCAAATGGGTGGGGAAGACCCACCCTCAATGTGGGCAGCACCATCCAATGGGGTGGGACCCACACCAAAACAAAAGCGGAAGCAGCCGACTCGCTTGCTGGCTCTTCCCCGGCTCTCTGCTTCCTGGTCGCCATTTGGAGAGCAGCTTTCACCGCCTACCCTTCGGCCATGTTGTTTCTGCCTCCTGACGGGCCCAGAGCAAGGAATCCGGCCGACCGTGGTGCAACCTCTGAAACTGAGCCAAATACACCATCCCCTTGGAAGTCATTCTTCTCAGGTATTTTGGCACTGTGACGAAAATCTAACACAGAGGATTGAGAGGGGTAAAGAATACCGAGAGAACAAAACAGATCTAACAAAATGTTAAAAATAGGAATGTGGAGCTCGGGTTGTGGTTCAGTGGTGCAGCACCTGCCTGGCGAGCACGAGGTCCTGAGCTCAATTTCTGATACGGGGGAAAAAATCTGGTAAAAGAATTTCCTAGAAATTCATTGTATACTTTTCACATTTGAATTATTTCTTTTTTTCATCTTTATTAAGTTTCTTGGTTAAGTTTCCACCCACATCGGAATCCCCGGGTCCTGCCCGCACAGCTGCAGCCCAAATGCCCTGCTGCCCCAGCGGGAAACACGCGCAAGTGGAGAGTGCTTTTAACCGAGGATGCTCTCGCTGGAGGCGAACCCAAGCGGAAAACTGCTCACTCTCCAGTGAGTTCCAGCCACCTTAGTAGCCCAGCACAGACAGTGGCCTCGAGACCGCTTCCTGCATCTTGGTTGTCCTTCTGCGACATCCTTTTCACGGTCCGCATGGTGGCCAGAGCTCCAGACTCAGGTCACCATCACTGCTGCAGTCCCAGAAAGTGGAAAAGGTCTCCATGAGGAGTTCGCCTGCTATTTAAAGTGCCAGACATAGTCTGGCCCACGCCACTGTCCCTGCTCTAAGCCTTAACTGTCCCCAGTGAATGCAGGGCTCTGGATGGCCAGGAAAAGTCACATGTCACTCGGTGCAGGGGACAGTAATGGTCCCGGCCAGGGCCGCCCGACTTCACATGTGTCCCTGTGGACAGGAGAGTCGGAAATGAAGGTCTGACGCCAGACGTCTGCCTGAGGCCCAGAGAGGCTGCATGTACACCAATCCTTTCAGTGCACACTGTGAAAATTCTCAGTACTGAGTGTGTCAATGTAAAATAACAGCTGTCTCAAAGGAGATGAGAAAAGTTTATTGTGAGCCAGATATGGGTGACCATGGCCCAGAAACCTGGGGGCAAGTTACCCTGAATAATGTGCCCCTGCCAGCAAGAGGTTTGGGGCTTTGACAGTCACAGGCAAAGGACAGTCACAGCACACGGACCAGCGCCACTGGTGGGACCTTGGATGGGTGGGAGAGGAAGTTTCTGTGGGATTCAGAGGTCCCAGGTGGAAACCTCAAGCTCAGGGCAGCGGGGGCCAGCAACGTGTCCCAAGTTTATCTAGAAGTCGGAAGGACTCTGGGTCCTATGGGGGGGGGTGAGTGGCTGTCAACAGGCGCTAAAGACAGTGTCGGGCTGGCCCTGCGACACCCAGGCTGTCCCCTGCCAGGCTGCTCAGGCCCCCCAGGGCGTCCTCCTGCCGGATCTTTAGCGATGGTGCCTCTGTTCACACCCTTCCCACAGGGTGGCAGGGTGAGGCGACACATTCGTGCCCTGTGTCCCCAGCATCCCCTCCCAGCCTTGGCACATGATCTTTCTGTTAACCACTCCAGCCTGGCTTCCCTTCTGGCCCTGGGGTCTGTCTTGTCCCATTGTGTCCCTTTGTTCAGCGAGGAGCCGGGAGCGTGGCTGGTAAAAACTCATGAACCCGGGTGACAGGGACAGCACATCTGGCATCTCCGTGGTGCCATTCTGGGGTTGAGGAGAGGATCTCGCTGTGACTGGAATTTTCCCTTTGCTGGTGACAGGAATGGTGCCTTGCATGTGCTCCTTGGCCTGTGAGTGCTCTGGGGCAGCAGAAAAGTGGTTTCTCAGTGCAGAAGCTGAAGCCAGGGACCGAGGAATCAAGGACGCTCTCCTCTTCTCCTTCTCCCTCCCCCCTCCCCCCCTCCC